TGGGTTACCTGAACGTCTGCCCGTGAGAAAAAACGGGAGCAGCGGGACCAAAAGCTCTCGCCAGTGCCTGGGAGACATCTGTTTCCCATTAACTAGCATATAGCTGGAATTATTTAAGCAGAGAATGGTCCAGCCACTCACACAGCAGAGCTAAGGGCGCAAGACTGAGGCCATGCCGAACGCTAGCAGAGGGAAGCAGCAGCAGCAGCAGCCAGCAATTGTGTACTGGGGACAGGGGCCGGGAGCCACACAATGCCAGGCTGATCCCCCGCCAGGGCTAGGCGACCTGGGGCAACCCGGAAAACGAGACCCTTAAAAATGTAATTACAGTACTTTGCGATGTCATAAAGGAGCTAGGAGAGGGAACCACCACCGGTTTGATATTACACCAAAACTGATCGAGTGCTCAAAAGTTTCAGTAGCTCTATTGGAGAAGCAGTACGGGAATTAAGTACTAAGGAAGCGAGGTCCAGTAGTTAGAGCACGAGGCTGGAAGCCAACGCTCATGCTCTCCTTTTGGCTCTGCTGCTCACTCGCTGTGTGGCCTAACCCAAGCCATTTAATCTCTGTGTGCAATCTCTACCATGGTATAATAGTCTTCTACAGACATGTTGTAAGGCTCAAATAACCAGTGTTTGGTAATGTACTTTGTGATGAAAGGTGCTAAGTAAGTATAAAGTATCATCACTAGTTATATTACTGTATGTATCCCCAGCCTGGCCAAAACTGCTGCTTACAATGCAGCTGCAGGTATTCCTTTACGTGATTATACAAGAAACTTTAACACATCATTTGTCTTCGCAGGACTAGTTGTTGGATGATTCGTTTCATCCAATTTTCTTTCTTCTGAAATGAAGCGCGTATTGATTTATGTTAATGTCAAGAGCTGTCCTCCCATTGTTTGAATACAACGGGGAGAATTCTCAGCCTCTTTGAATTGCCGCAGGTCCTTTGATTTCATCTGAGCTGCAGTAAGTTATCAAAGGGAAGACACCAGCTTAACATGTCAGGAAGTTCAGGGGGTAGATTTTACTTGTTAGTCACATTTTAGATTGCTATAATTATTTCCTCATAGTCACCCTGTGGCACTACTTGGAGGCTGTTAGGACATAGGGTTCTACTCAGAACAGCTCAAACATACAAACAAATGTTGTAAAATAGCCATAACGTTCACAGCTGTAAAATTGAGCTCTACTTCCCTAGGAACAGGCCAGTTTATGAGATTTCCTTTATTTCCATTGCTTGTGGTTATTGCCTAATTATTTGTTTCCATGTCTAACAGGCAGCCAGTGTAACTTCTCATCTAATGTAGGAAAAATGGTTATGAGCAATACTAACAAGCACAAAGCAAAAAATATACTGAGAACATGAAAGGCCTTAGGGCGTGAGAATGCCTTGACCAAAGCCTGTTGTATTGATAAGTTCTCAAATAAGAAGTAGTGTCAAATCGTGAAAGAGCAGTAGTAACTCTCATGCTTGGCAACTAGGATGCCTTAGACAATCACATGCATGCGAGTGCATTCCATTTTCTTCTGAGAGAAATGAATCAATGACCTGATGTGCAGTGAAAGTTAGCAGGCAAGACCAATGAAGCCACACTGAAGTCCTCATAAAGTTCCACACCAAGGAGAGGAATGGATAAAATGAGGAAGAATGAAGAAAAGAAACATCAAAGATGTCTGCAAGTTTGTAAGAAGGAAAATTAAGTGGATGGAACCATTTGCAACATACACAAAAAGATCTATGTCCCGACTCTTTAGCTCGCTCAGAAAAGACAAAGAGAGAACAATCAGACCAGTGACAAAAGACAGTTAGAGGCCAGAGAGAAACATTAGTGAAACCATGGAATGAATCAAATATCTGTAAACCTAATTAAGAACAGAATGTGCCAGCCGAGACGGCCACAACATGGTTACTGAGCAGCTTGGAAAAAAAAAAAAAGGCAATAATTCTTGTACTTAATGTCGGCAAATGTTACCAATGAGGAAAGTTATACAATCAAGAATGAGAAAGACTGTAGAAGAAACTAAGAAAGCAAAATAAGTCAGTTTATCTTCTGAAAGACTCTCTTAGTTCTAGGAAATGGACTAGATTTTAAGGTCTGACTAGAAAATATCTACTTTTTCACAGAAAAAAAAAAGAGTGTTCACACATAGGAAAAAAGCAGAAATAGCATTACAGTATATTAGCATAAGATTTCAATTTTATCTGGGAGATAGGCTGTACAGAGGCATGGGTCAAAGAGAACAGGATATAAGTTTATGAAATACACCACCTTTATCTTCATTGCACAAGTGATGACTCACAACACTCATGGTCCTTCTGCAGTGTATTCCTTGGATCCAGAATATAAATTCTGATCTTCTAATCAGCCATTACTCAACAAAGTAGGATGAGCTTTATAATTTTGACTGACATTTATTTTAGTAATGAATTATGACTTTATAGAAGCTGAATTGTCATCATTTGAGAATCGTATCTTCACATCAAATTAATTTTATACTGGTTGCTAACATTAGATAGTTAAGAAATTTGAAAAATTTAGTATCATTTATTTTACTTCTAACCACCTTAAAAATACCTGCCTGGGATTCCAGATACTTTTCATAATATACCTTTAATGCCAGACAATTAATAAAATTAAAACCCGAAGTGAATATTTTATCCTGTTCTGTATCTCCAGGCATAGTAAAGATCAAAAAGTCTCACACATTCAAATTTCTCCCTTGTATTTTTGATACTTCATCATACTGACAGCCATCATACAGAGACAAGGAAGCATTGAGAAGCTAAGTAGCACACCTAATAGTTACTCAAGAATCATGAAGAGAGGAGTACCCTGACATGAGCTCTTCCAGTTCCTACACTACAGATCTACTTCTACCTCTGGATCATCCGGGGAAAGAAGAGAAGTTCCCTACTGTATCTCAAGGACAAAAAAAAAAAAAAAAAAAAAAAAAAAAAAAAAAAAGAAAAGAAGAAAAATGGCCTTTTTAGCACAGAGTGAGGTGAGAATAGGAAACAAGTTCTTCATTCAAGAATGCCTTGGTAGTATCTACCTCCTTCTGGCAGTATGGTGACAGAAATGTCAACTACAGCAGTGTCATAGATTAGAAGTTTGAAATTACAAGCCAATCAGGCCTGTAGTGGTAGTTTTCAGTTTAAGATCATAGCAACTAAATATAAGTATCCAAAGAGCTATCTAAGCTCCTGAAAAAATAATGGCAGCTGAGGTGCAGTGGAGCCTAGAAATTATTTCAGCTTACCCAGGTAGATTTTCTGTTGCCTAGACATAGACTTGTAGTTTCATGTAAGATGCCCAGACATGTGAGATGTCTGCTTCACATGTATGACATGGGACTTAAGAAGAACTGTGCCTTTTTGAAGTACAGCAGGTGACCAGATGAGGACACCTCAAGTTGCATCAGACACCCACTCTGGCAGGTTGCTTGAATAACTCTTTCAACATCATTGGCTGTATTGACCATGTCTTTGTTGACCGCGCTGGGGGCTTAAGCACTCAGTTTATATATAGGCACTGCTTTTGGTGTCTTCATCTTGAACTGGATCCTATCCAATATATCA